AACAACATCAGAGGAACCACAAACACCTGCAGCTGATGCTCGTTCCAGTGGATTGTCACAACTCACATTGTGGGGTATCATTGGGGGAAGCATTGCATTTGTTCTTGTAGTCGTCATTGTTATTGTAGTGTCTTGTATTTGCTGCAGGAAGAAAGGTGGTGCTTCAAAAGGTAAGCAAAACAATTTATTTTTTTACTGACAAAAATCTATAATGTAGAAGGCAGTTAAATTTTGAATCAACCTTAAGCCACACCAGGCACCCATATATTGCATATTCTCTTCCTTCATCTCAACTTGCCACTACTGTTACAACATGTACATGTAGGGATCACATGATTGATCTATTGATTTTACAACTTTTTCTTTTATGCATTCAAGGTGGTAGGAACTACAGTGAAGCTGATGGTTACCGCATGTAAGTACAGTGCAGTGTATTGTTTTGTCACTTGGCAGCAGTAGCTGGTGAGTGCAGCTGCTTATTTTGTTGTGTTCCTAGATTAGACGCTCACCATACAAGGAATGTAAATGGGTACCTGCCAAGTGCTAGGGGAACTCGACAACATTTTGTGTTTTAATTTTTTTTTTTGAATGAATGTTGTGCCCTATTTCTTTGGCTTATTGTTTAACACTGACCTAATGTAATGGTGAATTTTCTGATATTAGGAACAAGCAGCCCCCTTCAGGACTAGGCACAGCCAGTCCAGCATATGTTGAGGCCAGGCAGTATGCATCAGTTTCTGCCCCAATGAGACAGGTACTAATTTTGTGAAATGACATAACTGCTTTGTGCATTTCCCATACCAATGTTGCCAACACCTATATATCATCTATGTATTAAATGTCAGAGTTAAGCATGTTAAAATAAATTCCCAGTTATGGGTTGTGTACCCCAGTATCAACACAGTGACCCTGAAAATGTCTTTTAACTTATACCATGAATGTTGTCAATTGTGGAATGGGCTCAAATTTTTGTGCTGCAGTCGCACCACTTTTTTCTTGCCATGTTCTTGTTTGTGCTTACCAAGAAGCAAACACCAAATGTTTTTAACCATGCAGTTTTTGTTTGATCTATGCCATTATTATGATAGTGTCCCTACATATTCCAGAATGCCTTGAATTATCTTTCCCTGTTGACAGCATGAGGGGCTTTTCCTGAATCAATATGTACAGTACTTTGTACATTACCCTTTGTTATTATTATTATATACAGTCAGGGCTCAACACTAACTTTCAACTTACTAGCCAAGTGGCTAGGGACAGTTTACGTAGATGTTACAACTATTTCAGTTGTTTACTAGCCAAACTGGCAAGTGGAAATTGAAAACCACTTGCAGAAACTGAATTTCTACTAGTCTGTGGCTAGTAGGCTACCATTAGTGTCGAGTCCTTTTCCTCCTCTGAGAATTGATTTATATTCATTTGATCGAAAGGAAGTCATTGGTTAATACCAAGAAAGAATTAAACATGACAATTCATTGTGCTCATTTGAGAGAAAATGATGATTTTTCTCTCTAGTGAACTCCTACCAAAAAAAAATGTGAAAGTAAAACAAAAAAACCACCAATTGTAATGTGTGTGCACTAGTTATGTATGACATTGTGTACTGTAAGGATGTGCAATGCAATACCATGGAATGACCTTAAAGTTGAATTACAATGAAATGATGAATATCACAAACCTCTTATCTACAATAATGAAGACTACTTTTTTTCTCCATTAAAAACTGTCTTGTAATACATCAAGGAAAGTGGTATGTAGAGCCAAGGGGCCTGGGGCCTGTTTCTCAAAAGTTGTGCTAACTTAACGGGCCCAAAGCCATGTTTTAAAATCTTAATTTAAAGGATAGGAAAGCAGGTTCTGGCACCCAAGTCAGTCCATTTTGTTTCTCTAGCCGATAGTTTTATTGTACCATTTTCAAAACTTTTCAAATCCCCATCTTGAATGAAAACAGAACAGCTTTATGGGCCTGTCAAGTTACTGGGACTTTCAAGAAATGGGCCCCTGATTCTGTGAGCTTTCACAAAGTAATGAAGATATACAGGTAGAATTTTCTTAAATAGGATAAAGATGATTTTTTTTTACTTGGTATAAAGTAATATAATGATGGGATTATTTTGCTTCCTCTAGAATGAACAGCGAAAACCAGTGAACTATATGGAGCCTTCCTTTGACAACTCACCAGCACCTGCCAAGCAGCCTCCCCCATACTCAGCCACAGAATACAGTGAGTTGGCTCCCCAGAAAAGAGGACAGCAGGGAGGAGAGGGTGGTGGCTTTGAGTTGTGGTGCTAAGCTTTTGAATGAGTGGGGTATGCAGGGTTCTCAGCATTCTGATCATTTCCATGCCTGTACAACAGCTCCTGGTAATACAAAGAGTACTGCTTTTGTAATAACCAGTACAATTTGTATTATCAGGTCAGGGAAGACTTTGATATGCATTTTACTGCTGCTGACAAAACCTGGGTGAAGTTTGAAATTTACTGAGAACCTTAAATGTACCTTTCACTTTCTGAAGGAGGAGCTTTTCTCTTGGACTAGTTTTATTTCTTTTTTTCTCATTTTGGCATGAAGTATGTGTATGTATCTTTATCTAAGTATGTATATGGGTAGCTTTTATACAAATTCTAGTAAGTTAAAGTTCCTTAATCAGTTAGAGGCACCTCAACTTCTTTTCCTTAAAATACCAAAGTTCAGAAACAGCTTTTTTGTATTTTTTGTCCTTTGCATGGCGTTATCATTATGATCCTGTCATCTTGTGCACAGATTGCCAAAGATTTTGACACTGATGTCTGCTATTTATTTTTCCTCAATTTGATTGACATCTGCTATCATTTGTCTTTCTTTCACATTACACAGTAGCTTAGGAAATAATTGTGAAATTGCTTTCAAAATTGATTGAACGTTCTAATCTAGAATTATTAGCCATGAACAACTGTAAATTTTAATTTTTTGCCAATCAAAGGAAGATATGGATGTTCAATAGTTTTTACTGATCAGTTGAAAAAATTCCAAATCTACAAATGTATATCATAGTATATTTCAGTTGTGCGTGACTGGACCTCGTGTCTGGTATAGATTTTGAACCTGACATTGTAGGTCTCTTTTGTGCACCTATGAGCACCACTTTTGATTGAAAAAATGTAATTAAATACCTATATAACAGAATATTAAGTGATATAAACTTACTGCAAGCACTTACATCTACTTACACAACATTTGAAATAAATGTCGCAGTGAAAGGAGAAGAGTCCTGATTCAGATAAAAATTTTGGAAAATAATATTGAGGATGCATGATAATTTTTAATTAACACAGAACAGACCAAATTTAGGTAGACAGTCTCTTTAGTTCACATTTGAGCAGCTGAAGTAGCCATGTTTTTCAGCTTTTACATGTACAATTTTTTCAGCTGAACTGGACCGTATGAGGGAATTTTCTCAGCTTGAAATATTGTGGTTTTTTAGCTAGTACGTGTACGAGGAATGCTTTTTATGATTTAGAATATGTTATATAGTTTTAGTAGCTGGATGTGTATGTTTAACTTTTGAAACCGTGACATTCAGTTTTTAATAAGCACATCATTGTAATCACTGACATAAAAATATTGAATCAATTTAGAATTAGCGAACTTCACTAAATAAGGTTACTGACATGATAATGCGCTATTTTGAATTAAAAATCAACAGGCAGGAGTTATTGTGATAGCATTGAAACATTTCTCCTCAATGAGAAGATTTGCACGTGGAAAATATCACAAATGGGTCCTTCATGTCTCTCTCTGCAAAACATGGTGTCTAATGTTTTTTTAGTGACTTGGCAAGTGGTTGCATACAGCACATCTGTTTTTAAAACTGTTAATCACATCATGGCCTGTTCTTTGGTGTTGACGTAATAGCTCCTAATGGTCGTTTTTTCAGTTTTATTGAGATATCAGTTCTCGGTGACAACATATGTAGTTTTCAGCGGAACAACGTGTGCCACACCTCTCTTGAGGAGAGCTACCCGCAGGAAATTGTTCTCCCAAACTTTTTTTGGACTTGTCGCGCAATGGTTCAGTTGAGCGTGTAGCACGAGTCTCTTCATCCACTTTTATTTTACTTAAAAGGCATCTAACTAGTTGAATTGTAACAAGTATTTACCTTACGATAGCTGCGTGGTTAAAATACATGCATGGTCGACTGTCTAGTTTTGAATGATCATTTCATTATTTAACAAAGTTTAAATGATTTTCGTTTAATTCAGTAAGACGACTTATGATCTAGAATTAACGATTTTATATTTAGTGAGGCTATTTTTCCATCAGATGTACTTTTTGCTGATTTCACCCTTGTGCCGCCAGTTCATGATGGTCAGTGCCTTTACCAAGTACAATTTTAGCTTATCAGGCTTTTATGCCAGTTTATATCACTAGTCATATTTTCAAAAGTAAGCAATTGTTTATATAGTATTCTTATGGTTACTGTATATTCAAAAAACGTGCAATAAACTCTACTGTAGTAGTAATTTTGCTATTGTCAACTCGTTTCCTTACAAGAGACTCTTCTTTTTAAGCAATGGACCGTGCTTTCTCCGTTATCCTGAGTGGGTTATTTACCTCAATAATTCAACCCACTAGGGATGAAGCGAGAACACTAGAGAAGTTTAAGCAATGGACCGTGCTTTCTCCGTTATCCTGAGTGGGTTATTTACCTCAATAATTCAACCCACTAGGGATGAAGCGAGAACACTAGAGAAGTTT